CTTTCTATATAATGGGTAAAACCCTATTGAAAGGGCATTGAGACCAATTGACAATATTATGTCGAACTCTTTTATTAAAAGTTAAATGATCTAATAGGGACAATTAATCATTTAAATGCAGACTTCAACATTTTCTACCTCAGAACTAATTCCATGAATATCTAAGCATAATCTAGAAGAGAAAGAGAAACTATTGCTAAGCTTAAATCTAACTTATAGTTACCTCTAAATAATTTTTTGTTTCCAAGCATGCTTGGGATAATATACTTTTTCATGTCTAAGAAATAAAATGAGTTACTTATTTTGATGATGAGGTAGAAGGTTATGTTTTCAAATTCGACTGGGGCATCAACTTGGTGAAGGGAAAGGATCAATGTGTATATATATATATATATATACCACAAAAATTTGACAAAATAAGCCCATTTCCAAATTACATAATATTTATTCACAAAATCAATCATTAAACATGGATACATTTAATTTTCGTCATTGACACTTCTTTTATTAATGGAAGATGGGACAATAGATACAAAAGTTTACAGCCTTCACTCGATGATGAATTGCTTGAATCTTTTATTATTATTTTAGAGTATTATTAATATTAAAATAAATTTAGATGGGAAAGATAGAGTAAATTAGAATGAAAAATTACATCAAATTCAATGAATCAATAATTTGTTTTTGGCTTTAGATTTCTTTCTACATTTTTTCAATTAAAAATAAAAAAATTGCAGTAGGAAATTATTATACTAAAAATATTACCAACATGATTTTCCCTTTTTTTTTTTATTATAGCTCTTCTACAGTTCTTTTCCTAATTCGACATCGCATGCCTAATCATTAATGGAGCAGAATCATTATGGGTGGTAGGAGGTAATCCTACATTGGTTGTAATTAAAAAAAAAAAAGTCATTGATGAATAGAATTATAGAATGGATGGGCTAAAGTATGTAAAATTTTCTTCATTGGGCATGTAGACGTTTACTGCATTTACCTTGAGGACATTTGAACTAGTTTTTCATTTTTAATAACATGTTCCAGGTCAACTGGTTAATGGTTTGGCTAGTTGAAATGGTGATTTTTACCAAATCTCAACTGTAAGGGTTTTATCCTATAATCGGACTAGTTTTTGGTTCGGTCTAGTTTTGAAAACATTAGTAGAAGGTACTTCTAAAGTAAGTAATTTACTTAATCTCAACTTTGACCAATTATTTTAAAACTTTTTTACTTATAAGTAGATTTTGGAAGCTTATCTAAACATGCACAAAGAAAGAACAATTCAGCCTTCCTAGTATTGAGAAAATCTCCTTTCACAATGTTTACTTGAGTGCTTAACAAACTTTTGAGTTGCATAGAATGCCCATTTTAGTCATAATACGTTATAATTACAATGAAGTTCTTACACAAGAACATGTTCTAAGGAGTGATTGTTTTGGTATTTAGGTTCGATTAAGGAAGACTTGAAGAGGGCGTAAAGGATTCCACATGGTTATACAAAATAGGGAAGTATAATAGTTCTATGCAATTGGAATAAGTTCTATAGAATGGTTCTTAGACCACATATGTATATGGTAATGAGTGTTGGATAGTTAAAGGACAAAATATATGAGATGAAAGTAACCAAACTTAGGAAGTTATGACTGATGTGTGACCATATAAAATGGAACGAAGATTTAGGCGAAAGACGACTTGAGGAAAAAAAGCTCCCTTCACAAGAACCAGATGATACTTATAGAATTAGTTGACTAAGGAGAGGTAGAATACATTTAAAAACAATCAACGTGGTCAATTTTTTTTTTTTAATTTTGTTGGACATTCAATAGATTTAGAGAGGAATTGAATGGAGTGGTGAAGAAGTAATTATTTAGTCAATTCCAAAATTATATAGAATAATGCTTAGTTTGTTATTTTTAAAGGAGGTTGGAACACGAGCCAATGACCTAATAAGGCTTCACTCTTACCACTTGAGCTAGGTCTTGACCTCATCTTAGTTTGTTATTGTTGTATTTAACAAGCTATCGAATTACAATAGTGAGAGTCAATGGGATCTTCAATATAAAAAAAGATTAAGTTGTAATTTGACCATAATATCATGTGATATGCAGCTTGAAAGTCACTTGATGCTTCTTATTTTCACTTTTTGTTGTAGTGGTCCCTTTTGGACCACCATTATTCCTTCTATTTCTTGGAAGGAATCTAGTTAAATGATGCATTCAGTTTAATACATCAATACTTTAAATGTATTTTCAAGGCCTATCTTTTAGTAGACCTAAGAAGCTCCCTTCAGAAGACGACTTAATCCTTGTAGAATTAGTTAGAATAAGGAGAGGTAGACTTCAATTAAACACATGTCAATGTGGTTGAAAAAGATTTGATTTTGTTGGACATTCAGTAGATGTAGCTATGAATTGAATGAAGCGGTGAACAAGTATTTATTTAGTCAATTCCAAATTTATTTGGAACAATGCTTAGTTTGTTATTTTTGAAGGAGGTTGGAACACAAGCCAATGACGTGGTAAGGCTTTGAGCTAGGTCTTGGACTCGGCTTAGTTTGTTATTGTTGTATTTAACAAGCTAATTGTAGACCTTTGAAGCTCCCTTCACATGAACAACTTGATCGTTGTAAAATCAGTTAAAATAAGGAGAGATAAACTTCAATTAAACACGAGTCAATGTTGTTGAAAAGATTTTATTTGTTTAGACATTCGGCAGACGTAGCTATAAATGGAATGGTGTGGTGAAGAAGTATTCATTTAGTCAATTCCAAATTTATAGGAAGTAATGCTTAGTTTATTATTTTTTCTAATGGAGGCTAGAACCCAGGTCAATGACCTGGTAAGATGCTAGGCATTGGCCTCAGCTTATTTTATTATTGTTGTGTTACAGGGTATTTAAGTCTTTTATGTAATATCTAAGGATTTCCTAAGTTTTTATTATATATAGTGTGAGAGGCTAACACAATAGTTAAGCCTTCTTATTCTTTTACTTCAACAGCCACCATTGCTAACCGTCCCACAAAAATGGAGAAGGAAAAAAGGGAAACGATCAGTAAGTTATAAATATAGAAGACAAAAGAGAGGCAAATAAAGAAAGTTATAACCAGTCAAAGAGACCATTTTTAATCTCTTTAAGCTTCTATTAATGAGCATTTTTTATCTTTAGCAAGCACGAGAGGATTTAGCAAAGGACCAGAAGGGTTGAATACACAACAAAAACTTTTAAGTATAATTTTTCTCATTGTTATCAACAACATGCCCTTCAAAAGCTAAATAAGAACATTAATTACTAATGCAGATGAAGATTACCCAAGTTCGAGCCCTTAGAGTGCTGCTTCTAACCTGAAGAAAGTCCCCTCTTTAGCTTGAGATCCAGGATTTTGTTTGTAAAATTGATTATATTTGTAATCCACTTATTGCACTTTTCGTAAGAAGGATTAGATAGCACTGGACTCTATTAAGAAAGAAAATAAACTAAATTCTTGTCTTCAATTCCAACCAGTATTGTATACCAAAGATGCACGGATGCAACAATCTCAGAAGAAATATCGTCTTCCCACAGCAAGCACAAATGGAACAGTCTCATGCATTCGGCTCCCTCGCTATGGCGGCTTCTGCTTCTCAAATTTTTTTTTTCCTCCATAGGAAGCAGACATATACGCAAAGCAAAATTGAAACCACGCGTAACCATAGTACTCTTTAAACAGGAATCTAATTTCCACCGGTTAACACAACAACAGTGACCTTGCTGGCGTAACCAAATAACTCCAAAATTAGTATTGAAGACTTGACAATTAAACCAGAAATTTTCTTTTAGCAGAATTATTTTCTGTGAAATAGAAGAAAGAGTTTCAGAGTTCCATTACATACATTCCATTACATACTGTCCAAATATTAGCTGAATTGCACTGCAATAGGGTCTTTCCTTTTCACCTATTTAATAAGCGCTTAATTTTTGCATAAAACATGGAACGGAGTCAAAAATTTAAATTTACAATACAAAATCTGAACTTCCTGTGTGGAGACTGAATTTGACATGCCTGGAGTTGGAGTATTAGATGAAAGCTTCGGTTCCTTCATTCTCCTCCTCGAAGCTTTCGCTTAATACAAAGAACCTCTTATGACTCCAACTTGATGCTTGAAACTCTAAAACAACCTCTTCAAAGGGGTTTTCTAAGCAATCCGCCAACTGGTACTTTGAAACAGTATTGCAGAAGAACTTCATCACCACCTTTCCCAAGTTCTCTTATAACAGGGAATCTCACTTTGATGTGCTTTGTTCTTGTACGATTGACCGAGCTTTTAGCCGCGTCAATTTTAGATTTATTAATTCTACGTGCATGGCTCTGCATTATTTTTCCAATTCTATTTCTTTTTGTATACTTCTTTTACTTTATGTCAATGAAATTATATTACTCCGGTAACGATCTTGATTGTATTTTCTCTTTAAATCTAAGTTGTACAGATAATTTAAATGAAAGACCTAGGACCATTGCACTATTTCTAGGTATTGTTCTTCTCGAGGGCATCTCCATCTCTGTATTTGCCATTTTCTTGGTACTGAGGTTATTTATCCTCCACAATGGTATCTTCTTTCCTAGTCTAAGTATGCCGTGGATGATCTTCAGAGAGCTGGCATTACTAACACTAGGTCTGTTGAGACTCTTCGGAGTAATGTTCATTACATTCCTTCCGGTGGTGTTCGTTTAGATGACCCAACTTTATACTATCAAACAGTCTTATCTCTAAATTACACCGGCTGATATTTCACATTATGAGTAATATTGGTCTGTTCTCGTACCATTCTTCACTAAATAGTTATAACAGTGAAAATAGCAGCCACTAAATGCTCTTCGTGTTCATAGTTCATACACGCTTATCTTATATAGGATAAGAAGACTAGACTTCATTTATTTTGAAGTTGGTGGCAAGACATGTCAATTATTAAAGCCAACATCTTAGTTGTACATAATTTAGGTTTGTGACTACAAAAATATTTGATTACATATTTTTCTCCCAAACAGCGTAGTCTATTCCAGAGGTTGCAACCTGAAAATTTGGTGGAATTAGATTTCCAAGATCCATCTTTGGTCCAATTTTGACAATAATTTTATCATCAATCATTGCTACATAGAGATCAGAATCAGAAGCCATAATCTGCACTTTGCTAGTTGGTGAGATGCCATTCCTTGACCTAATCATTGACAGTTTAGTGATTTCGTCCTTCTTCCCCCAATCAAAGAAATGATCGTAGAACTGCACAACAGAATGAGAAACTCTTCAGATAATTGTAAGGTTATAAATGAGTCAATTTGGACCAAGATTATGAGAATTCAAGTCGATTTACAAGTAGAAATCACTTGACGAGTCTAGCAGAGTCGATATTTAGAGTAAATAATGAGTAGAACTGAAATAGAAATTAAGCCTGGAGAAGCTCGTAGATGGGGAACTTACTACTGATGGAATCCCTGGATGAGTAAGAATATAAGCATATCCTAGACTGACTTTATCAGATGGAAATGGCCAAATTTTCTGTGTGGATCCTGTATCATGATTGTCAATAAAAGTAACAGCATTCTGTGGCAAAATACCCATCATTCCAGGAGGTTTTCCATTAGAATCCTTCAATCTCCACAATTCTCCCTGCACTGCAGCTTGAAGAATTCCCTTTGTTGTGAAATCGAAAGCTGTAACTCTCCCTCCCGCATTCTGAACCCACTGCATCAGTTCATTCCGATGCCGGTCCTGATTATAATCCAACTTTCCATCCTGTCCATCGGAAAGAGAATTCCAGAGTTCTCCAACAGCAAAATCTGGTGAAGTGTTTTCCATATAGATTTTGGTGATACTCACGGAATATCCCTTGACAAAGTCAAACCGCCAACCATCAAATCCAATTTCAGTCTTGAGCCAGTTCATCCAGTCTGATAACTCCTTTTGTACTCTGGGATTGAGATGGTCAATGTCTGGAGCAGGTTTAAAGTCATCTCCGGTATCAGGGTTCCCAGTGCCATCTGAATACTGTGTGTCGTCTTTGCAGATGAATGACGGCCCCCAGTCAAGGCGATCATCAGAAGTCCCTCCCTCAAATATGCAATATATACCTCTGCTGTCTTGTTTATCAGCACATCTGTGGTTTATTACAATATCAGCAACGCATTTGATGCCCTTGTCACGGAAAGCCTTAACTAATGACTTCAGTTCCTGTTCATTTCCGTATTTGGATGCGTCCAGATCATACAATCTTCCTGGCATATAGCCTGGAAAATAAGGGCAAACTTTCCATTAATACAAGTATACCTTGTATTAGCATTTCTATATCAAAATTTCAAAATCCTAAGATACTTCCGTAATTTCACAGAGCAATTAGGTTAAGACGCACAAAGCTAAAAAGGGACATATTTTGTTTTCTACAAGTCGATGCAGAAAAGTCCAATTATGATAAGACCGTTGGACAATATAAAGTCCAATTATGATAAGATTGTTGGAAAATAATCAGTTACATAAATTGCAGAACTGTAAAATGCAGAAAGTAGAACTTATTAATTGATCGAGTAAAAGACTTTTTAATTATCGCATGGGATGTGAACCGAACCGGTGACCTCCCACACTTTTCACCAATTCCACACTTTATCTAACTTAGTTATTTCTTTCAAATAATATATTTATTATGTAACAGACAGCACGGGGGAGCAAAATCTTCTTCACTCTGCTGTCCCAGTGGTGCGACTACTAAGTATCGTTATAAAGTTTTCTCAAAAAAGACCAGTAAGATAATAGCAAGTCACCTTGGGGTGCAACTGAGTGGGAGACGGGGGGTAGCCACACATGGGTGAACCCAGCATTTGCCAGGTCTGATAGAAAAATTGAAAAGGAATAACGAACTTTATTCAAAACCTTTTCACATAAAAAAAACCCTAGATCCATATCCATATTGAAATCTGAAAAATGAACATAAACATAAAACATACCTGAATCCATGATAATTAGATTGTTAGCTTGAAAGGATCACGATCTTCCAATTTGATTTGTGAACTTCACTTCAATCTTGATTTCTATGGATGGGGATGTAGAAACCTTGAAGAACACANTTTTATTATAAATAGTGTGAGAGGCTAACACAATAGTTAAGCCTTCTTATTCTTTTACTTTAACATGTTGTATTTAACAAGCTATTGAATTACAATAATGAAAGTCAATGGGATCTTCCATATAAAAAAATAAAAATAAAATCCAGTTGTAGTTTGACCATAAGATGTGATATGCAACTTGAAAGTCACTTACGGCTCCTTATTTGCACGTACTCCCTCTTGGACCACAATCATTCATTCTATTTGTTGGAAGGGATTACTCGTTCAATTTAATATATCAATACTTTAAATGTATTTTCAAGGCCTATCTTTTAGGAAATTTTGGTGTATATTTATTTCTGGAAAGCGATCTCTTGTCTTGATTCTTTTTTATAAATATCATATAATTTTCCTTTACATTCTAAATAGGGACCCAAAAAGATTTCTGCTAAATCTTTGTTTTAAGTATTTTTGATCCCTGGTGACATTTTCATGATTGAGGTCACTCAAATGCTTTGAACCATAGTTTGAATGCAGGGAATTTAGAGAATCCATTCTTGGACTCATGCCACATCATTGGGTAAGTTTTGGTCAGTATACCATGGTATCAAATAGTAAATAGTTAAAGCCGGGTCACAAACCTGATTTATGGTTTGATCATCTTTATCAGGATCTCCGGGAAGACACTTTGTTAAAGCTAGCACACTTCAGGCGGCACAAAAGGAAAACATTGAAGAAAACGCCTAGCAAGACTACCACCAACGACCCTTTCCACAAGCCTGAGGAAAAGCATTCTCCTGGCAAGGATGTATCAAAAAAAGTTTCAAATGTGATTGAGAAGGCAGTTAATATTGCTAAATCAGCAAAGACCAAGAAGGTGAGATTTCCAATTAGTCTTAGTAATTAATTTATTAAAGTTGAACATAATGTGTCCGACTAAATTATTTTTGTAACGGAAACTTTTGTTTAGAACCTTCATTTGTTATTCCTTGTGAATATAGAAGCTAGCAGGAAGTAGTAGGACGCATCTAACAATGAATTGAACTCCCTTTTGGGTGTAATTTACAAGTCCTGCCAATATTGAAATTCAATTTGTGGAGCATTTTTCTATAAACTAAAGTGAAATATTCATATTGATTCCGATCCCAAAATGTTGTATATTAGTTGGTCACATGTGGAAATTTAATATTTCAGATTCACGGGAATTGGTACTTTAAATTATTCTTGCTTTCTCATTAAGACGGATACTTGTTGCAACCTTGTGAATCATCTTTTTTACTTTTATATGCAGCATTTGGCTTATATACCCACCATAACAAATTACACTAAGCTCTGGTGGATACCCGATGTCGTTGTTGCTCATCAAAAGGAAGGAATTGAGGCTGTTCATTTAGCATCTGGCCGCACCCTATGCAAGGTGAAAATTGGAGCTGCAAAGCATACAGTATTTCTGTTTGCTTCATATAACGTCTCTTCAAAATTATGGATGAAATGACTTTTATTGTGCATACGGGATTCTTTCGTAGTTTTTTAATTTGAATTTTGACGTTATCTGAAGATTACCATGTCGTCAGACAATAACTTCTTACCCCTTCGGAATCAAAGCTCAAGTTTTCTTGGTAAATATCTAAGAAGGTTAATTCTTTGACATTATTGTCTAAGCTATACGGCTTCTGTCTGAAGGAATCCTGACCTCTTGCTGACATTTAAGACAACCTACTAATGTTTATATATTTTGTTTCAAGGATTGGCTCTTATGTAGGTTTATAATCTCTGAACGACTAACATCTGGAGTATAGTATAGCTTGAACTGTTCTTTGAAATATGTGCCCCTAATTGAAGTATCTTTTGCAAGTTACGTGATTGATCTAAGTTTTTAGTACTATCGCATTTATGTCAGAACAAACTAATACATACTTATCAACCAGCTTCATCTTCAAGAAGGTGGCCTTCATGCTGATATCAATGGAGATGGCGTCTTGGATCATGTCCAGGTGAACTTTTTATCCCCATCTTAAACTTTGTTTGAGTCTCAATATCCAAGTCTTCTGATGCTTATATCAGTTCTTTCAATTTAAATCCATATCGAATTTTCTTTCAATTAAAAGGTTAGTCCCTTAGTTTAGAGCTATCTTTATAGTTTCAATTATAGATACGATAACTTACATTTGCCAAATTCAATATATTGTGGGAGGTTAAGCTCCTATAGAGGTTCTTAATTTTTTATGATGCAGTGTATATCATTTTTGTTTGAACTCAAAATCTAATTTTCGCTCTGCACAAATTCGTATGGTACAGTTGAAAACACATGTACTCTTTATGCTTTTTCTGTTTTCTCCTTTGCATGTTTTAGTTCGAACTCACATGATTCTATGCATAAGAATTTATAATTATTAAGGACCAATAATACATTTTATTGCTTAATAAAAGCTTATATTGATGAAAATGGAAAATCGGGCAAATTTAGCTAAAGGTCACAGTTATTATTGATTATGAAGGGCTTTTTTTTTTTTTTTCTCTCTCTTGAATCAAGGACATTTAACTTGCAATAAACAGAGCACTGCTCAAGCGACTTTTGGTACTCTGTGACCCCGATATATTAGAACAAGAACGTGATCTACTTTTAGCATTTCAAAATTAAAGATAAAAGATTCCTTTTAAAACCCATTGATATACTTGAAAACTTAAATTCAACTTTAGTGTTTATGTTTGGTGAATTCAAGTTCTTCTAGGATCTAGCTACAACATAATACATGTACTATTTGCCCCTTATCCTGGAAAATTCATTTCATTTTACCAAAAAGACAAAGGTAAAGTGATTTAAAGTGCACATTGAACATTCTTTCATAAAATTTGTATAAAGGAAAGAAGAAAACGGTTAAAACGATTGTCTCATTTTTAAGTAACGAATGAAAATGCTATTGTATGCCTTCCTCTATAGGTGGTTGGAGAAAATGGTGCTGAGCAGACTGTAGTAAGTGGATCAATGGATGTGCTGCGTCCCTGTTGGGATATTGCAACATTAGGCTTGCCAGTTCGAGAACAGCTTTTTAATGCTTCTATCTGTCATCACGCTCCTTTTAACTTATTCCAACATGGAGATTTTTCCAGAAGCTTTGGTGGACATACAGATGTGAGTTCCTTGGAGGTCGCAGCACCCATTTTCATCCAAAAAAATGGTGGTTGTGGGCATCGTAAGGAACACAATGGTGACGTCTTTTTAACAAATCGAGGGGAGGTACTCTAATACCCTTCCCGGGAAAGCTTAAAAGATTTGATAGGTACTACTCATACCAACAAGGTCCACCTTCTTTTCCGGAAGTTCATCGTTAGAAACTCTACAGTTAAGCGTGCTTGGTTTGGAGCAATTCTATGATGGGTAACCTCCTGGGAAGTTTTCTTGGGGAGCGTGCGAGTGAGGACAAAGCATGCTGGAAAGACCCATGTTGGTACAGTGGGGACAGTACGTCGTCGATCTAACGGCCGGGACAGCCCGTTAAGAGGGACCCGGGTCGTTACACCTGCAATCTCCAAAATCCGCTGGAACATCTTTCACTTACACTTCTCCCATT